CTGAAGATGGACGTGAAGTTGAACTTCAATCTGCTGAGCAGCAACGCGTCATGCGACGATGTTGTACATGCGGAAGCACTAACCACTTGCGGCCTGGTTGCCCTTTGCGTATAAAGCGTCGGGTTACAAGCCAACACTCATGCCCAAGCCAGAAGTCTGGCATGGCACGGTGAAGTACCGACGCCCAGTAGGCGCGGGGCGCCCTACTGGGAAAGAATTGGGATCTGTTACACATTTAAGAGGTAAATTTAAACAGAGCAAAGCCCCAAAGAGCTCCGTACCAGTTGGTTTGGAGCGTAAATACAAGTCTGGTTTGTTAGTAGCCGAGGCATAAAATCGTGTGGGCTTTTGAGAGACCTTGGTCGATTTTGATTGACTCTGAAGCGTCTTGCAATTAAGCTCGACGTCGTTTCCTTGAGGGTAGTCAGTATTATGCTAAGGCGCTTACAGCGCGTGAGGGTGATTCTTTCACGGTTCTCTAAGCGACTGAAAGTCGTGTAACTTTGCCTATATTTCCATTAATTTTTTAGGTATTCAGTTTTTAGACTTTGACAGCATTGAACGCTGTCGTGTCCTCGATTTGAACTCGAGATCTGATCTCATCTTTAATATGAATTAGATGGAAAACCCATGAGCCATGGAGTGATTGGAGGTCTAATATCTTCAGCGCCACGCGCAACGCAACGCGCCTAGCGAAGTTTTAGAGAGTCATGAACCCACCTTTTTTAGGCAGCAGAAGCACTACTGGAGCGAGCTTTTGCAAAAGATTTTAATGTGCTGGACATTGATGTGTTTAAATTGTCAAACTCCAATGTTGTAAATAAATTTTCCGAGCGGATATATCGTTAGATATCGGTGATACGGCACGTACTCCGTTAATTTTACTCGTTTTGACAACGAGTCACTGCATGCTGAAAGCATGGCTGGACTAAGATCGGATTTAAAAGGATGTAATTCCTTTGATGTGTGTGAGGTGGCACGTGAAACATTATTTAAGATGGGCGGTCGTGAAGGCACCACACTTAATGTCGGTAATGATAATGTTGGCGAATCGCCGTTCAATTCGGGGCTAGGACCGCATAATGTATGTGGAGTGGCACGTGGAAATTCACCGGGTGGTTAGTTCGAGATTTGTAACACTTCACCGGATGTCGGACAAGACATCAACTCTCGTATAGAGAGCACTACTATGAGTAGTAATAAAGGGGACAGTAGTGTCCCGAAATCTAAGGGTTGTAAAGTCTCCAAGAGATGACTTGGACGCCAGGTGACAACTGTTAAGCGCCAGTCGTCCACACATTCACTGAGTGATAATAGTATTACACTATACACGCTTATTAACGGAGTGACCGATCAAGTCGAAGGCAATAGTAACCTTGAAACCCTTCCATCTTTGAATGCTTTGTGTAAGCTCGACGATATGTCTGATGGCGAGGTTAGCCAGGTCTTAAAGGCAGAAGATTTGTTCGAATTAGTGGTCATTAAACCCGATGTCAAGCTGAACTCGTCCTCATTAATGGATGAGTCTGTCAGAAGACACAAAGGCGGCGCTTAGTGCGCGAAGTGAATCTTCGATCATTGAAGATCCTTTGATTCCATTTTTATTTTTTGGCTATTGAACACTAAGATGTGGTGTGTCACAATCCACCATCTATCTTACTACCTAATAGTCATGAAATTGACTAAGTTCCAGGAGCTAAATACTGTGTAACACAGCAGTAACCATTGCCTGAAAGACAGTGTGACGTCATTGATGAGTTCTTTCGGGCTAAGCACGCGGCTGTGATGGTTCGTGAGAGTAAATCTCCCCACTTAACATCAAAATTTTGTCTCATGACGCCAAATGGCAAGTGGCGCATTGTGCATGTGTGTTATGAGATTAATTCAGCAACTAAACCGGCGCAGACGCCTATTCCTAGAAAGGATCTGTCTTCAGAACAATATGGTAGGATGTACACTGTACAGCACACTTGACTTCGTCGAATATGGTTATCAGCTCCTCATGCGAGCGAGTGATATTCCGCTAACTGCGGTAGGAACTCCGAGCGGTATGCTCTGGGAGTGGCTCGATATGCCACAAGGCCTGTCAAACGACCCGGCCACCTTTAACCGTCTGGTGACGCAACAGTTCATACCTCATCGAGGTTACGCACAGACGTACTTTGACGACAACTTTGTCCATAGTCGTGCAATGAATGGTCGAAAAGATGTGGATAACCACATCGATCAAATACGAGCAGCACTCGAGTGCATGCGCACAAATAAATTGTACGCTAACGCGTCTAAGTGCATCTTTGGTGCAGAAAAGATTCCCTTTCTAGGGTAGTTTGTTCGGAAGTGAGCCTTCGAGCTGATCCCGTTTAGGTAAAGGCCAAATTCGACTGGCCGGTTCCGAAATATAAATAGGACATACGTAAGTGGCTTGGAATTGCCGATTCCTTGCATAAGCATAGTGCGAATTATGCAGACATGGCTAGGCCATTATCCAAAGTCCTTAAAAGGATGTGGATTGGTGTTGGGGTAATTACAAGCACGATGCGTTTAAAGTGGTTAAGGAGAGTCTCCTTCATGCGCCAAGATTGGCTTTGCCCGATCCGGATCGGCCCTACAGTGTCGTCTGTGACGCATCTATCTGACTTCGCCATAGGCAGTGCTCTGTTACAGACAGATGTCGATGGACGCGAGCGCGTCATTGCGTTCGGGTCGCTCCAGCTGAAAGCTGCTGAAAAAAGAAATATCCAGTTCACGACAAAGAACTACTTGCTGTGAAGTATGCTTTTGTCAAAGTCAGAGTACATCTGCTTGGCTCGAAGCCTTTTGTGATCGATACCGATCATGCGTCATTGCACACTGCGACACAGTCGCCGCGTCTCAATCAGAGAATATCTCATCGGCTTTCCTTCTTTGCCGAATATAACTTCGAGGTGAAGTGATAAGCCAGGAAGCAAAATGCCTTGGCTGATGCGCTCTCGCTCCGACCTGACTATGTGCTTTCTAAAATTGCTAATCTGTCGCCATGAGTCTCTGAATTAATCCGCGCGCTTAAGCCATGGAAAAAAGTGTGTAGCTTTGCTACGGGCTCTTGAGATCGATAATTGTAAAGACTAGGACATAACATTGTCGACACGTTTACTTGCAAGGCAACATTGGTATTCTGTCGATAATGGCCTGTGGTGCTATCGCACGAATTAGTAGGATACCTCTCGTATTGCTATCCCTCATGATGAGGAGTTGAAGTATCGTATCCTCTTTGAGGCACATGACACTACTTTGAGCGGTCATCTCGGTCGTGCGAAGACCTATGTCTTGGTGAGCCAGGCTTATTGGTGGCCTAAGATGTACACATGGGTGAGCACTTATGTGCGTACGTGCGAAACGTGTCAACTGGTCAAACCCTCAGCTTATGCGTCTGCGCCGCTAGCGAGTCTGCATGTACCCAATGGGTGTTAGGAATCCATAAGTATGGATTTTGTGTTCGGTGTACCGAAGGATTCTAAAGACAACCCTGGTATTGTGGTCTTTGTTGACCGTTTAGGCAAGATGGCTCATTTAGCGGCTGTGCCGGATGAGATCGATGCTGAAGGTGCAGCGAACCTGTTTATAGATCGTGTGTTTCGTCAGCATGGATCGCCTGTGGCAATTGTCTCTGATAGAGATCCTCGCTTCACTTGAAAAGTTTAGAAGTCTATCTTCAAGGAGCTCAGCACCCGATTGGATATCTCCACGGCGAGTCATCCGTAAACTGATAATCAATTTGAGCGTGTTAATCGCGTCATTAATGACCATTCGCGCAGTATTTGCGCCGATGCGCCACGGCGTTGGAGCTTAATGCTTCCTGTTGTTGAATATGCGCTAAACAACGCTGTTCATGCCTCCACAGCCTTTTTTCGTTTTGGGCGTAAACGGTCCCACCCACCTTCGCATTCCGTTAACGCTGCCACTCTGTGGTTTAGGGCTTAGTGGGGGAGAGGATGCCGATCGGCTTGCTGATACCAGCCCTGCTACTGTTCGAAAAAGGTAGGCGATTTCCTCGCAACACGATTGAATGTCTTACGGCATGTGCGTGACGCAATGGATGATAGCCAAGATCAACAAAACCAACAAGCTGCTGCCAAAGGCAGATATTGCAGTGAAAGGTATCAGGTCGGAGAAAAAGTATTAATCAATGCTAAAAACCTACCTATACATGTAGTTTCTGCTTTCTTCAAGACAAAGCTGCATCCACGCTTCATTGGACCGTTTACGGTCACTGCCAAAAAGAGTCTTGCATACACGCTCAACTTTCCACGCAAATTTCGCACGCACCCTGTGTTCTACGTATGCTTACTTAAGCCAAACCGGGATCCTCCACATGTGAACTTTAAGACGCTGGAGCCGAAGACGAGGGCGGTGCCCCGGATGCTGCAAGCGAATTAGCAAAGTCCAACTGAGCCTCGCTTTGAGTTTGAGCACGCCGCATTACCTGAAGGCGGCTCTGCATCGCAACAAGTATGTATTGGGTCTTCTCAAGGTTTTCTTGAAGACACTTCACTTCGAAAAACCAATTTTTCCTGTACTGCCACCGGTACACCAGCTACCACCGACGCTGCTCGATGAGCGTGGGTGTCGTTAGTTTCATGTCGAGAAACTACTGAAACGACGTCGTCTGGATGGCCACTACCAGCATCTGGTAAAGTGGCGTAAGAATCCTGAGTCTGAGAAATCATGGGAGTACGAGGTATCACTACGGCAAGATTGCCCGTATGCTCTAAAAATTTAGGAAATCGAGGCCAAGGTCATCTTGAGACAGAGGCTGTGTTCCACCACTGTTTGTGTGGGTTGGCGGGTTGGTAATAATTGATTGACCAACACTCGCGGCTACCGTAGTAGCCGAAGCATTTCGCGTAAGATTACGCATTTGGCCTCTAGCCTCACTAAAGTTTTCGTTCGAGACCCACATCAGCCACATTGGCACTAGCTTTTGAAGCAGAAAGACTGCTGAGGCGAAGTATGCGGTGCACCTAGTGGACGAAAGCATTGTCTTCTTCGCTCTCTGTTTCGCCTGCACACAAGAGAATGAGTATACACTTGATCGGTGAGACCGGTGCACCACGTGCTTGAATGTCAAGGCGTGCCTTATATTGACCTTGAGTCGTCAGGTGAGGCTCCGGGTATCTCTCGAGAAGTGCCTGGCAGATCGCCACCTCCTCAGGAGACTTAGGCCCATGGCCAATGACCCACGTTGCCAATGTTTGGCCGGCTGCTTGACGTAAGTGTTCCTCTACACCGGGTCGAATGAATATATGGTCACGGCGGTGGTCGAGGGTTGCGACCATCTTTGCATGGCGCCGAGCGCTTTCTTCTTGTCAAACAAATAACGGTTGACGCTCATCTAGCAGGTTCGTGATGATGGTATCATCCAAACCGAGTTTTGAGTGCGGCACCAATGGCGAAAATGTATTATCACGTTCAAAAAACGGACTTAAGGTAGTAGGAGGTTGTACCTACAGACATCGGTGTATCGGACATTGTCCTTTCATCAACCGGGATACTGGTACTGCAACCACAGCCTACTACCTCCTCCATTTTGATGTAGTCACTGAGATCCTGTGATGTAAGTAGATAAAAACATCGTGCTAAGCTAAATGTTGCTATTGGGTTTACCGCTAGCGCACTGACCTCGTGTAGGAACAAAGTTCGATAGAATCAAGAATCGATTGACGTTTAGGTAAGCGTCAGATCTGGTGGAAGAGGGTGTAAAGAGGCTAAACATAGTTGTTACTTGGTACCCTGTGTCTTAGATACAAGGATGATATTCCACTGAAAGAGATATAGAATATCTTACAGTTTAGTGGGGGCTGACTGGTGTCAGCAACCAGACAGGAGATGTCTTGGTTGTAATAATTTAGGACATAAGTGTCTAGATTTGGATTAAGATATTTGATAGGCTTGAATGTAAATAAAATTCAGTTTCTCTTTTGATCTTAAAGACACGTGCCTTGCGACGCGTCTTTGGTCGTTGATCACTGACCACTAAGAGTTAATAACACCTCCTCAACGTAGTTAGTTACTCGTGAGCAATAAGTGCTGTCGATTCACCGGATCGTTTGGTCCCCTGGAACAAGGACCATAAGCTTTTCGCTTGTTGAAAAGAGTTAAGTTGCTCGTGGAGCGTTAAGTCTTCCTCTGACTTAAGGAGCAGTGTAGCTCCGCTACACATCAAGCTTCCTCAACAAAGTCTCATACCATGTTTAATGTACCAATGACCACCAGGCAAAGTGTTTCTTAGTGTATTCGTTTTCTTTCTCACAATCGTTCAATAGTCATTGATCAATGCTCACAAGCTGCACAAGCTGAGTTGATCTCTTTAATGAGGTACTCACGCTTAAAAATGGTACAGCTAGCTGCCCACGATGCGTACTCCAACATATTGCTAAACGTGAAGTGTCAAATTCGTGCTTATAACTGAAGCATTTATTTATCTGCATCCGCCATTGCTAAATCTATCTTTTATTGATTGACATGGTCATTCATCTGTTATCAACATAATGAGCTCGCATTCCCGTGCTACGTACTCTTGTTCAAAATTAATTTATTCGACAGCTTCGAATCACGCAGATCAAGCAGATCACCACGTCTGTATCTATTATGGCGTCGGTGCTTACTCATCGTGGCGGTGGTTTCAGAAAATTGTTGCAATGTTGCAACACAGCCATCTCTTCATTTGGCAGTATTGAATATCTGTCGCAAGATATGGAGCTATCTGTGTCGAACTGTACATAGAAGAATTGAACTCTCTCAATCCAAACTGTAGGTTGACGGCATCATTTATCACGGTATATCCGCCTGAAAGGATTGGACAGATCGAACATTTGGGGGAGCAGTACAATTGGATAAACTGATGATTGGAGGTGGACATCTTAGCTGCGTGGGCGGAGTAAGATTTGCGTTTTTCAATTACTTCTCATTCTTCCCCCACCGTCTCAAAGATATTGCGCCATCCTTCCTACCTTTTTCAGTCACCGGGCTTCCTCGCCATTCGGGCTCCCTTGAGAATGAAGCACTGGTACATTCGGAGCGCCCTTCTGCGCCAGTGGCTGAACTAGAGTTGGAGATGTTTTTGGTCACAACGTGCCACATCAACTTTGTTGGGTTACTGATTATGTGAGCACCTTCTTGTGGCATTGAGGGTCACTGTTTCAATCCGAACTTCAGGCGTAGAAGTTACGGCATAGTTCTGCCTGTACTTACATCAGAGTTGATCAGACGAGCAGCTTGATTGAAGACCTACATGCTTGCATGTGGACAACAAACAAATCAGGATGAAGGCCGAAGAAGCTCCAATCAATCGATCACTTTGGAATCTACCTTCTACTAGTGAAGTCGTCTACACCTCCTGTGCAGACTATCGTTGTGCTCTTCAAGATTCCTCAACAAAGTCTCGTACCATGTGTCATCCACCAATGACCACCAGGCAAAGCGTTTCTCACTGAATTCGCTGTCTTTATCACATCCGTTCAGTGGGTATTAGACAATGCTCTTAAGCTGCACAAGCTGAGTTGAACTCCTCAAATGTTAAACCTACACTTATGCTGGCTTATCTAGCTTCCCATAAGGTGCACTCCATTTACCGCTGTAAACGGTGTATCGAGACTTGCGCTTATTCCTTAAGTATTTATGTACCCACCTTGATCGTCGCCATCTATTTCCTTTGTGGTTTTTATAAGGTCATTCGTCATCCGCTTTCAGCATAATGCGCTCGTAGTCACGTGGTACTCAACCATATTCAGAAACGTTTTTGGCACCGTCAAAAACCGCGGATCAAGCAGATCTCCATGTCTTTCTCTGTTACGGTGTCCAAGTTATTCATCCTGGCGTTGGTGTTCAGGAACTTGTTGCAATGTTGCAAAACTTGTTACCCACCCATTTGGCAGTATCTAACATCTGTCGCCTGATACAGAGTTACCTGTTTCAAACTGTATACGGGGTTGTGGAACCCGCTCAATCCAAACTTCAAGTTGACAATATCGTTCCTTACGGTCTTGAGTTCGAAAATAGATGGAAACATGAGATGATTTGACGAGCAGAATGATCGGATGCACCAATGATCGGAGGTGGACATCTCAGCTGCGTGGGCAGAGTTAGATATGCTTTCTATCTTCGATCTTTTCTCATTATTCATTCAACGTCTCAAGGGAATTGCGCCATCCTTCCTGCTTCCTTCCAGTCGCCGTGAAACTCCTTGAAGGGCGTCCACGCCATTCGGGCTACCTCGAGAATGAAGCACTGGTACATTCGGTGCATTCTTAGTGCGCCAGTGGGTGAACGAGAGCCGACGATGTTTCTGGTCACCACGTGCCACTCCAACTTTGTTGGGTTACTGATTATGTGAGCACCTTCTTGTGGTATTGAGGGTCACTGTTTCAATCCGAACTTCAGGCGTAGAGTATTTACGGCACAGTTCTGCCTGTAATTACATCAGAGTTCATCAGACGAGCAGCTCGATTGAAAGACCTACATGCTATGCATTGTGGACAGCCTATGCAATCAGGATGAAGGCCGAATGAAGCTCCAATCAATCGATCACTTTGGAATCTACCTTCTACTAGTGAAGTCGTCTACACCTCCTGTGCAGACTATCGTTGTGCTCTTCAAGATTCCTCAACAAAGCCTCTTACCTTGTGTCATCCACCAATGACCACCAGGCAAAGCGTTTCTCACTGAATGCGTTGTCTTTATCATATTCTTTCAGTGGGTATTAAACAATGCCCTCAAGCTGCACAATCTGCGTGGATCTCCTCAATGGTCGTACTTACTCTTGTGCTGGTTCAGCTATCTCTCCACGATGTGTACTCCAATTTACCGCTGTAAACGTAGTGTCGAGACTTGCGCTTGTTACTGAAGTATCACATTAACCCGCCTCGACCATTACTGTCTTCTTCCTCTGTTGCTCCAATATGGTCATTCGTCAATCCACTTATCAACATAATGCGTTCGTAGTCGCGTGGTACTCAACCATATTCAGAATAAAGTGATTGGCATCTTCAAGAACTCGCGGATCAAGCAGATCTCCATGTCTTTCTCCATTTCGGGGTCCGTGCTATTCATCTTGGTGGTGTTGTTCAGAAACTTGTTGCAATGTTACAACACTTGGTCATCCACCCATTTGGCAGTACCTAACATCTTTCGCCTGATGTATAGAGCTACCTGTTTCAAACTGTATGGGGTAGTGGAACCCGCTCAATCCCAACTTCAAGTTGACGGCGATCTATTCTTCACGGTATTTACGCCTGAAAGTGGATCGGAAACATCGAGACGATTTGACGAGCAGTGCGAATGGATGCACCAATGATTGGAGGTGGACATCTTAGCTGCGTGGGCAGAGTAAGATCTGTGTTTTTCTTCATCTTTTCTCATTCTTCCTTCAACGTCTCAAAAGAATTGCGCCATCCTTCCTGCTTTCTTCCAGTCACCGTAAAACTCCTTGAATGGCGTCCACGCCATTCGGGCTACCTCGAGAATGAAGCACTGGTGCATTCGGTGCATTCAAGTGCGCCAGTGGGTGAACGAGAGCCGACGATGTTTCTGGTCACCACGTGCCACTCCAACTTTGTTGGGTTACTGATTATGTGAGCACCTGCTTGTGGTATTGAGGGTCACTGTTTCAATCCGAACTTCAGGCGTAGAAGTTACGGCATAGCTCTGCCTGTACTTACATCAGAGTGATCAGACAAGCAGCTTGATTGAAGACCTACATGCTTGCATGTGGACAACAAACAAATCAGGATGAAGGCCGAAGAAGCTCCAATCAATCGATCACTTTGGAATCTACCTTCTACTAGTGAAGTCGTCTACACCTCCTGTGCAGACTATCGTTGTGCTCTTCAAGATTCCTCAACAAAGTCTCGTACATTGTGTCATCCACCAATGACCACCAGGCAAAGCGTTTCTCACTGAATTCGTTGTCTTTATCACCTCCGTTCAGTGGGTATTAAACAATGCTCTCAAGCTGCACAATCTGCGCGGATCTCCTCAATGGTCGTACTTACTCTTGTGCTGGTTCAGCTACCTCTCCCACGATGTGTACTCCATTTACCGCTGTAAACGGTGTATCGAGACTTCGCGCTTGTTACTGAAGTACACATTAACCCGCCTCGACCCTTACCGCCTTCTTCCTCTGTTGCTTTAATATGGTCATTCGTCAACCACTTATAACATAATGCGCTCGTAGTCGCGTGGTACTCAACCATATTCAGAAACGTTTTTGGCACCGTCAAGAACCGCGGATCAAGCAGATCTCCATGTCTTTCTTCATTTCGTGGTCCGTGCTATTCAT